TGGCACACTTGTTCTGTGGAAAGTGTGGTTCTGCTGCTGAGAGTGGTGTCTGATTTCAATCTTGCACAGATAAATATAAATAAAATAAAAATAAAGCACATCCAATGGCTGTCAGCCTCCATTTTGTAACTACACGGGACGTCCTGACGTCATCATGCAGCTGCTTCTGGAACATGTGAATGTGCAGAAAGCACCAACACAAAGAGGAAACTACAAAACTGGAGGAAAAAGAGATTCAATTGGCCCTGTCTTSATAGAATKSAAAGATTTGGGCTCATTTTGTTTTTYACTGAATGAGTCTGAGTTTGACACGAGCRAGGTGTGCRAGGTTTGAAGATGAAGCACTTTGGGAACACGACAAATGAGCTCACATTATCAGTTTTGAATGAAAAATCWAATTTGAATCGAATCCTGACCCCAAAAATCWGAATCGAATTGTGAGAGAGTAAAAGATTCCCACCCCTAATTAAAAGGAAACAACACTTTGAATCAGTGACCTGTACACCAACTGCAGTGTTTGCTTACATTAAACCTCCTTGGAGACGCTGTCTTTTTTATGAATACAGTCAGCACTGGGCTGAAAGGTCAACTTGGTGTCAATTATTGTTCAGAGGTATTTAAATTCAGTCACCTGCATCACTTCCTACCCTTTTATGACAGAAAGCCTGAATACAGGTCTGGTGCTAGCTGTTCTCAATCTTTCTCCCAGACAAAACTCCTTGGTTTTACTAAAATTAAATCCAAAAAGGGCTACAAAACAAAAACCATTGGACTTCTATTCTGAAGCTGGAGACATWTTGCTTCCCACCCAGGAGGTTTTCAACAATTGTTTTTGTTTTTAACTTCTTTAGGAATTATCATGACCTGGGTGACTGAGAATCTTCAGCAGCATAATAACATTAAGGTCCAGAAAACTGTCACCAAACCAGGCAGAGTTGGTCTATGAGCTGGGGGTACGAGGGGCTATCAGTGTTTTTCAGACYAGCCACTAGGGTCATGTCATCAGAATACCTAATGTGTAGTAATAGTCTTTGCTGTCTTGTCACAACTTATTTGTGTATAAATAGAATAAGAGTGGAGATAACACACAACYCTGTGGAACAACAGTGTTCAGAACCCTGCAGTCAGATAGTGTTATTGGTACGATTTGTTCTGGTCTTTCCCTYAGAAACTCTCRGATCCAAAACACAAGATGGCTGCTGACATTTAGATCACACAAGAGTTTTAAAAAGAATACATGGCTGAGCTATATTAAAAGCTAATGAAAAGTCCACGAATAATACATGGAAGACATGGAATAGTCCATGCCTTCCTGTTATCTAAATGATTATGGACCTTATTCAGAAGGAAAAGAAYGGCATCCTCCACCTCTTGGTTAGTCCTATAGGCAAATTTCATGCTTTTATATTATACATGCTTTTATTTTGTGGATTTGAAGCTGCTTGTAATATACAGCAACAAAATCAAAACAATACAATATCAAGGTTTAATGACTTTAAAAGGCAAGTCCAGGAATTACAGACTTGGAAGGATGCTTGAAGCGGAATAACATGGAGAAATCCCTGAACATCCCTGAAATTTCAGAAGGCGCCTCGATGCTGAGGTACGTGGAAAACATGATTATGATAAAGCTGGGTGACAGTGTGGACCTGGGCACCGAAAAAAACCCAGGACCTTCAGCAACAACAAAAAATATAATTATGAACAAGGTGGTTTTATCTTGAAAAGAACAGACTTACAACATGGCTCCTGGGTTGTGCAGCACCGAACTTCCTGCTGGCTTGAAATTCTAAAAAGAAACAGAGAGAAAACAATCCTACATCAGTCAGAAGTTCTGATTCATGCAGAGTCAGAGGACGTTATGTGTTCTTACCTTGGTGGTGTTTGGAGGTAGAACATGCAGCTGGTAAACAGTCAGACACAGTTTGCTTAAATTGATGTAAAAGTTCACCATCACATCACCAGGCATGGGAGGAGTAAACATTTTCTGGAGATCAAATAACAAACAAAGAAGAAAAATACACAACATCAAAGAAAACATATCAAATATGCTGAGTGCTGAATGATTTATCTGAAATTTACTGAACAAGATAAAACTGAGTTGTTAATGTTAAGAGAAAAATGGTGGTTCAATTTCCAACTATTTAACAATTTTATAAAAACACCCCCCACACACACCTAAAAAAAGGCGTACAGAAAAACACAAATTTCACAAAAACCTATTTTATTAAATGAAGCTGAGACATAAAACCCATTTCCTCATATTGATATTGTACTAGTAAGTTACTGTACTGTAAGTTATATTATTGTCATTCCACATTTGTACACATTTCAAAACTGAGTACAAAAAAAATCTCTGAGGGTTGTCTGAGCATGGCTGAGTATGGCAGAATGACATAAATGACAGGACAGTGGGTTTTTCTGTCTTTAAAAAAATGTACAATGCATAAAATATCGTCTATAAGAGGGCAAATATGCCTAAAAGTAATAAAAACACATCCGATACATGGACAACCCGACACATTAAAGATCAAGATGAGCAGATTTTGTGAAAAATGCCAAAAATTAATTGTCCAAAAGTCGTCAGGGGCCTCATGTAAGAGTGTGCAGCTTTCGTAGTGAAAGTTTGCAGAGGGTCCAAAAATCATATTTATCAACGTAACTATGCAYGTTTCTGTTCTTTCCTTCATACGTCCCAATGAACCTGGAACTGTGTGCACATCAGGCACCTCTTATGACTCCTACATGTGACTCTCTTTTTCTACACAATCAAAGCAATTTTTATGTAGAAAATTTGTAATTTTACAGAATGCAAGTCAAAGACGCTTCTAAATAAGGGAGTGGACATAAAATGGCATGGACAAAGAGGAGTGACTGTGTGTGTGGAGCTGAGGTCAGAGCAGAGCACACCTGCAGAAGGAACGAACAGGTTGAATGGTCATACATACAGGTGGGAGTAAAAAGGACAGCTGCCCATGAGCTCTGATTCAGTAATATTAGACTCCACTTACTGTACATGAATTACATACTTTTATTGTAAATATTAAGTAAACTGGGGATCAGGGTTACAGCAAATCTGCCAGCAGCAAACTGAAGTATTTCCAAGTTTAATAAAATCCTTACTGTGAACACAGAGGCACTCAGAGATGTAAAGAAATTAGAAACATGTTTATTAACTAGTTGATGTCAACAAACAAGTTGCTGGCATCAGCCTTCTTGAAAGGCTATGGTTGCAAGAAACTCCAGAGTGGTGAGGACTTGAACTATCAGTAATGTCCAGCCAGTGGGTTTGCATTAAGTGAAGATSCAGAGCTGGTAATTGTGTACAACCAAATTTGCGTGTTGTGCCAGGGTGTGGTGGGTCAATATTTGCCAAGTAGGAGAAGAGCAGCCTGGGCGTTTCAAACACTTTCAGCACTTTTTTTCTATTTTGAAAAATCACACCAGCCTTGTCCTCCTAGCACCCCACAACCAGCATGAACTTCTGAATCCTAGATCTTATGATAATTTGCTTTTAGTTGTCCCTAGGTCCAGGTTGGTCCACATATGTTTCTAATGATCATTGTTGTTGTAATACTTCAGAACTCTAATTCTTGTAGATATAAAAGACAACAGTTTGGAAATGCAGTAGGGATGCAAACAATTAATCGGCTTACGATTAATTGTCGAATAATGGTTTATTAGATTAAAATTTCTTCCATCCAATTAATTGAAAACATCAGTTTAAACCTTATTTCAATGTGGTTTTGACTTCATCCAGCAGAGGGCGCTGCTACTCTCAGCCTGGCCTTATGCTGCGTTCCAGTAGTCCTGGGAAGTGGTAATGTCCCCGTTCCCATTGGCAGATCGTTACTGGAACGCCCCCTCCAGTGGTAATATTCCACTTGTACAGTGGAAGAAATTAAACTGTCCCCAGTTTTGATTTCAAGATGGCAGATACTCGCAGCTTTAGAAAGTGAACTCCATATTTTTTACTGTTAATTATCTTTCTTAATTTTTTGTGCATGTTTAATCACTCAGACAAGTAGTTTGTTTTCTGTGCAATACTGTACATATTAAAATCAATGTTTATTTGCATGACGTACRTAGTAGAGCTCTCTTTTTGTCATTGTTTATATTGTAGCAGTGTTGTAACTAGGTTAGCGGCAGCAATTCAATCGCCTGTCGGCTAACTGTAATACAGTTTCATATGGTTTAAAGATATGGTATATTGGGAAATGACGTCACTACCATTTACCAGTTCCGGGAATACGATGTAAATGGAACGCAGCATTACTTTACCCCGGGCCAGTTGAGCTTAGCAGAGAGCAGCCTTGATGTGGGCAACGTCGTAATTAAACRTGCAAATCTTATTTAGTTTTATTTGCAACACAACAATAATAATGGACTACACCAAACTCAAAGAAAAAGTACCGAAGGCTGTACTGGACCATCCAGCAGTATGACGCTAAAAACAAGAGAGCAGGACCACAGAACGGTAAGCTAACTGTAGCTTCTTCTTGTGGAGTTTAACTTGTGAGAAAGAACAAAAACAAATAGTTACAATCGCTACAAATAATTCCCTTGAAGTTAATCTCATCTGTATGATGTAACCCAGCCAGTGAACCAATCAAATGAACAGTAACTGACCCTAAATCAGCCCACCCAGACAGAACCAGAGGGAATGTAAACAAAAAGTGCCAGTACTCATTTGTACGCTCACATCTTTCAGGGATATTTTATGTTTATAGTTTGTTTTTGAGTTAATCTTTATCTTAAATATTACCCTGTGTTTAAATGATAGATTTTCATCTTCAGGGTGGATTAAGTGTTTTACTTGATTTTTTTTCCAACTAGCAACCTAACAGATTCTTGTTTTGTTAAATTTTATAAATATGCCCAAGTTTAATGTGAGAGAAATCCACATTTTTCTGTTCATTCAGTCAGTGTTTATAACACAGCTGACACAATGAATTGTTAATACTGAACTTTTTTAATTTCGCATGTAAAAAATTAGCCCTTCATGTTATAAAAAACATTGAAGAAATGTCAAGTTTTTAAGAAAATAGCAGCTTATCAATTAATTGTTAGTCGATTAATAAGTTCAATCAACTTTAGATTAATYCATTAATCGATAACTTGCATCCCTAAAATGCAGATGTCAAAAAACTTCCTCGTAAAAGGAAAAACATTGATAAGGTAACCATGCTGTGGCTTCACCTTTCGTAGCTTCCTTAAAAGAAAAAAAAAGTTGCTTGCAAAGCTGTCGTATCAGTGCAATGTACGGAGGCACAGACAGTTTTCATCGTGCATCACACGCAGGCATGTCTTTCTATCTTTATGAGGACCACACACACACACACACACACACACACACACACACACACACACACACACATCTCTGTGCCCCTCTTTTCCCCCCCAAGTTTGGCGAGAGGTGGATGAGGAGCAGTGATGTCAAAAATGCTCTCGACTTGATCTGGCCTTAATTAAATTAAAACGACTACATGCCGTAAAATTCTTGGAGGGGTGGGTGGTCTCAATGGCGGTGGGGGTCCGCCCCCCTTGGTTAATGGTAGGGGAAACACTGTTTTCTGAAACCGTTTAAGAGGAAGCTGTTCAGAGCTCAACCGGATSTCATACTTTGCTTGTGTTTCATTCCCCAAAGGAAAGTTCATTTTCAGAGACTTGTAGAAGTGCAGCAMATCAGTTTAATAGTGGAATTCCTGAGTGATAGTGGTACTGTGTTAACAGTACTGTCTAGGAATATTTTAACTGTACTGTGTCAGCAATGTTCGYGTGCTTGTGTTATAGTGTACTCATGCTGGACCATACCATGAGACCACTGGTTGCAAGTTCTGGGAGTGTCAAAGAAGCCGGAGTGGTGAGACGGTTCCGTGCYCGTGTCAGCTGGAGCATCACAGCATCCATGAGCTGCAGCGTCAACAGAAACATGATGTTGTATTACTACCACAGTCAAAGAGAGGGATCTTAGCCACAAGTAGCTCTGTAATGACTAAATTAAGWTTTTAAACCCCTAAAGTCACCAACCTTATTAACCTCTGCCCCTGACTTGAATTGGTAGCTTTCATCGTGGCTGCATAGCAGCTGCAAAGCCTGATTCACATGATTCCTGGCATCCTGGATCTAAGGGACAAACAAGAGAAATTGTGAAACAAATACAGTGTGAAGACAGGTCTATATTCATTACAGTTCAAAATGTTTGTGACAACAATCATCCCAGGTTCATTCTAAAAAGAATAGAAATATCAAAAATATCCACAAAGAGCATCTTCTAGTAACACTACAGAATAAAACTAAAAACCTAGAAAACCTTGATGAAATGACAGCTATTTTTTTATTAGTCTTTTTGATAAATCCTGTATTTAGGGTTGGCCTTTGTATGTGTTGGTATTTGATATTGCAGCAAAAACCTCTGTGTGCTACTGCTRTATGTATATTACAGCTCGTGCGTCGCGCTGTCCATGGCCATAACAGAAACGATGACTATGGTAAAAACAGAGGCGGGGACTGTGTGTGTGTATACACACAGATACATGCATTTTATATATTCACAATGACTGGTGAAAAAACAGCAAGATCATAAACACACAGTGCTCTCCAAAACCCGAAGCAATATTTGTTGCTTACAGACCTTTTTATCCGCCCAGAGAGCYAACAACAGTAATCATCACCTCTGTCTACTCTATATCCCACCAAATGCTAACATTAGCTTCGCTCTTAAATGTCTACACAACATAGTCGACAGACAGCAGAAAATCCACCCTGACAGAGTTCATATCATTGCTGGAGATTTTAACAAAGCATGCTTAAGGTCTGTGCTCCTTGGACCGGAGCATAATCAAACAGCAGAAACTCCAGGGTTTCACTGACTCCACCCTATCCTACATCAGACAGGGGCTTAGGGTTGTACAGACAGGGTTGCAATAGACAAGAACATCTGGGTTTACCCAAACTGGAAGCCCTGGATGACCAGCGAAGTCCAGGCGCTCCTGAAAGCTCACAAAGCATCCTTCAGTTCGGGGGACCAGGTCCAGMACAGAGTAGCCAGAGCAGACCTGAGGAGGGGAATCAAAGCTGCCAAGGCAGCCTACAAAAGGAGGGTCATCTGGCTGACAACAATCCATGTCAGGTGTGGCAGGGCCTGTAACCCWGCTGCGACCCTCACTGTCTAAATTATTTCTTTACCCACTTTGAGTCAACCTCACCTCATACAGCCACACTGCCTCCACTGCCACATGTCACACGAGCCCTTTCAATATCCAGCAAGTTAAAACCAGAACGGAAATATTCTTATTGTACATTATCTGCTTGCATATTCCCATCCATACATTTCATWCAACTTGTTTTATCCACATATCATCTAGTACCATCAGTGGCCATTCCAGAGTATATCTAGGTCAGTGAGCACAGCAACCAGACGTGTGCCTGTAATTTGAATACAACATTCGCATAACTTAAATGACTTTGAACTGTGAAAAAAAAAACAGCACGCTGGAAAATAATTGTAGTCACAGAGAGAATGTGCAAACTGCGTGAAAAACGAAAGCCAATCCACAGCTAAATYCAGCAAAACAATAGCCAGTAAATCAAAATGTGTAATTTTCTCTGGGGTTGAGGCTGTATGATGCATGGCACTAAAGATAATCCTCACAGCATAGGCTTCTCATCAAAATAGTAGATTACAGTACCTGCTGCAGTTTCCACTGCTTGTCTTCTCTGAACTGAAAGTGTAGGACCTGGCTGCTCTTTGCAATCTTCAGGTTAATGTCCTGTTGAAAAAAGCAAAACATTAAAATATGCTGTTCACCCAAAATCATTTTCTTTTCCCAAGAGGGATTTAATGATAACAGACTCACAGCTTGTGTCAAAGCCTCYCCCTGCAGTGTCAGCACCCCCTTCACCTGATCCATGCTGCAGAATCAAAAATCACATTTTTATTTCAAACTCACTGCAGGAATGAGAGGTCACACAGTACACAAGACCATTTAGAGCAAAGCAAAGTTAACAAAACTTGATATTCAGTGGCAAACATGGACTTCTGTAATAGTCATGACTTGTCCATGACAAACATCATGTTTAAACATAAGGGTGTCCAGAAGTGCACAYAGCACCAGGAYGCCCTAGGCTGCAGATCAAGGATAGACTTTTTAGTGGTGTCGACTGATCTGCAGCTGTATGATTTAAATCACCACGTGGTGGTGAGTTGGATCAGGTGGTGGCTGTCAAACTGAAGCAGGGAAAGCCCAGCCCTCTGTGTATCTTAACCAGTGATCTATCCTTGTGTGGTACAGTTTTTCATTTTTCTTTTGAAAAGGTAGTGCGACCCCTGCTGGTTGCTGCATGACTTGATCATCTGTTTCCCCATGTTTTTGTCATGTGTGTCTTCTTGAATTGGTGTTCTTGAATGTAATTTCATTGTACTCTGTACAATGACAATRAAGGCATCATCATCATCATCTTGTCAGGTGGTGGAAGGAATATTTTGAGCACTCTCAATCCTAACAAYAGGGGTTCCAAGGAGGAAGCTGAGTTTGAGGACATTAGGATAGGTCCGCCCATAAACAGGGCTGAGGCTGAGCAGTGGAAGGGCACAAGGAGTGGATGAGATCCATACTGGGTTCCTAAAGACAACAGGATCAGTTTTACTAGATTAGTGGTGGTTCCCATTTTCAYAAATGCAAACGGAAGTGTGTGTTCCAATTAGGGCTGCCACGATTAGTCGATTAATCGACGACTAATCGATTATTAAAATAATTGATGACTAATTTAATAATCGATTAATCGTTTTTTTTTTTTTGTTCTTTACTTTGTTTTTCTCTCCAAACTGCTTTGACACCTTCCACTGCCGCATCTGCCTTTCTGTCCTTGACACACATGCACAGTAGTGGTAACTGGGGTAGGCCGTGGATGTCACAAAACCTACAGACAGGCTCTGGTATCATGGCTACCCAGCAACGGAGCTCAAAAGTGTGGGATCATTTTAAGAAAATAAAGAGAAACCTGTGCAATGCAATTTCTGCAAGGCAGAATGTGCCTTCCACAGCAATTATTTTTTGTTAGCATATAGCTAAAATCCAATGATGGTTATATAACAGCAGCTGCATTCTGGCGCGATAAGCTGTATGTTTTATATTCAATTAACGTATGATCCAATTAGTCGACTAATCGAAAAAATAATCAATGATTAATCGACTATAAAAATAATCATTTGTGGCAACTCTAGTTCCAATTACAAGGGAATCGCAATCCTCAGCCTCCATTGTAAGGTCTTTTCAGGGGTGCTGGAGAAGAGAGTCCGGTTGATGGTCGAACCTCCAATTCAGGCAGAACAATGGGGTTCTTGTCCTGGCCAGGGAACACTGGGCCGGCTTCTAATTCATGCAAGGGTCCTTGAGTGGGCATGAGAGTTTACAGTCTAAATTTATTTTGTGAAATTGGAGAAAGCATTTAATGGCATTATCTTGACATGATTTCCAGCTCTTACTAGAATTAGTTTTAAAAAATTGTTAACTACAAAGAGGATAACTAAAGTAAGTTTTGTTAAGATCGATATGAGGCAGATGTGTGACATAGACACATACAGACAACATAGACAGTCACACTAAATGCGTTGCACTCTATATCAGCCCTGCTGAATTCTGCTCCAGGCCTCTGTTGGTTCCATACTGCCTGATTCACTTCTGAATGCTTACATCTGAGTGGGAAGTGGCCAGCTCCATGTGTGGTTTCTGAATGACCAGAGGGAATTCAAAGACAGAATGGTCTTTGCTGCCATTTTCCAGAGCCATCTTGTGAATGTGGCTTATGTATCCTGGTTGGTCTTAGCCTGGCCCTTGCCTTCCTATGCAGTTCCGCAAAGCGAAGGACAAGGGTCTGGTTTTAACCAGGCTAGGTTGACTTGGGAACATCTTGGAATCTTCCCAGAAGAGTTAGACGAGGTGGCTGTGGGAAGAGATGTCTGCTCTAGCTGCTACTCACATAAGCCGACTCAAGAACAAGTGGCAGATAATGAATGGTTAAAGGAACAGAACACAGCAGTGACTGCTTTAAACTCTGCTTGTCTGACTGAATGTGATTTCAGTTAACAGAATTAGCTTTGTATTTTATTGAGGTTTTGTTCTGTAGTGTTACACCCACTTCACCTCACCGCATCTCACCACTGGTTGACCTTTGACCCCCTGAGGTCAAAGCTCTCCTCTCCCAGACTGAACTGTTTCAGCTCTCGCTGAGAGCTATGAAAAGATAAAAGCTTTCCTTTGCCTTTCCTTTCTTCTGAGAAAGAAACATGTTCTCAAGAAATTCGCTATTTGTTGATAAAAACAAAATAAAATAAGCATGTCTGTTGCTGTTTCTCAAACATGTTTAATTCCAATGTTTCAATCCTTTAACATATGTCTGACTTTTGTCTTTATTTTTAAAGGGCTCTCTAATAATAGTTGCATTTTGTTTTGAACATGTTTAGAAATTTATGAGTCAATGATAACAGAATATATTTTAATCAATGCTTATATTTTATCTTTTAATTTCTTCTGTTTTTAATAAGCATTACTCAATCATTTTTAATAGTCTATTAGTCAATGTTCATAATTAATAGTTAGTTAATTAGAATATTAATCTAATGTTCTTAAGAGTTTAGTTACTTCTGCTAAGAGAATGTTTGTGTGCTGTTACTGCTGATGTGGGTCCATACAGACACACACACACACACACACACACACACACACACACACACACACACACACATGGTTCTCATGAGAGCCTTCACCATACACTTGCACCTGCGAGATAACACCACACTCCTATGATCTTCTTTGAGAACACAGCGCTTCGCTGTGCGTCTTTAAAAGCTCCTCTTGCTTCCTGTTCGTCAGCCAGTCTGTGTCTTCGCCCTGCTGGGTCGAGGCGCTGGTCGTCTCCAGCTTCCTTGCTTTTTCTGTACTGGAAAATAGCTACATTTTCCAGTTTCTTTTTGTGGCATATTTTTCTATTCAATTTTACAAGGAAACATCCTCTCTGATTGGAATATAACTTTTGCTTTGGGCTGCTCTGAGCCTGAAACCTGGAGACATCATCCCTCGCTGTGAGTTTTTTTCAAAGTTCCTGACGAGCTCGGTTTTGAACCGCTACTGCCACGTTGCTGACAACTCCGAGTCCATGAAAAGCGGCCTGCTGCATCCATTCGGCTGACCAAGAAAGGCCGCGGTGTGGCTGTACAATGAGTCGACACCAGAGCTGAAGTCTTGTCTCGTTTGATGTTAAGATGTAGATRTCACCCCCAATAAAAATCAAGATTATGATTTTAATTAAGAGTGTACCCCCCTAAGTTTGAAACAGCCCACAATTACCAAAATAATTCAACCACCAAAATACACACAGAAAACACACGAAGAGTCGTAATTTTATTTTGGCCAGTTAAAACTAACTGACTTTTATTAGAGGATTATGTGTGAATTATTTTGGAAACTGTGGGCTGTTTCGAACCTAGGGGGTACACTCAATTAAAATCATAATCTTGATTTTTATTGGGGGTGATATCTACAGTTCTATAAACAATCTGAAATGAGTCAGAAAAAGAAAATCCCTTTTTGTTCCTTGCCAATAAAGGCAAAACTGTGATAATGACTGATAATGTCTGCATGTATTCATTTGTCTGTATTGTTGGCAGAATAACTCATAAAGGAGTGGACATACTTAAAAGGGATCCACGATTAGTTGTAACATTAAACTTTATTTGATAAACATTTATTTTAGCTGTAGAATAAAGACTGTAAAAATACTGTGGACTGTTTAGTTTTGTAAATTTATTTAAATATATTTTAACACGGATGGAGCCATTTTATTTACACACAAAGCATTCTGGGTAAACGATGACATCAACTAGGTCCTCGGTGCGAGGCTGCTAGCGAGCTATATCCACCCTGAAGGTTAATCTTGGACAATATCTGATGATTGGCTCTTTTAAATGAAACCAGAGAGYGTTGACAGAGAGGAGAAGGTAGAAATGACTCAGCCTGTAACTGAAAATATGGATGGAGGACAACAGAGCTGCTTCATGGAAGAAGAACCTCAGCTTAGCCTGTTAGCCTTAGCGCTAGCCCTCACACTATATTGCCTTATATGTATTAGCTCAGTGCTAGTGCGACAAACTAACAAGCTAAACTGAGGTCCTCCATCCATATTTTCAGTTACAGCCCGAGTCATTTTTTGTGTTCCCCTCTCTGTCATGTGGATGGAGGACCTCAGTGACGAGAGGAGAATGTGTAGCGCTGAGCTAATACATATATATGGTGATAGCATCGGGGCTAATGCTAAAGCTAACAGGCTAAGCTGAGGTTCTTCTTCCATGAAGCAGCTCTGTTGTCCTCCATCCATATTTTCAGTTACAGGCTGAGTCATTTCTACCTTCTCCTCTCTGTCAACGCCTCTGGTTTCATTTAAAAGAGTTGATCATCAGATATTGTCCAAGATTAACCTTCAGGGTGGATATAGCTCACTAGCAGCCTCGCACTGATGACCTAGTTGATGTCATCAATTTCCCAGAACGCTTTGTGTGTAAATAAAATGGCCCTGTCCGAGTCATATATTTTTAAACTTTTAGTTTAAAAATTACAAAAACTAAACAGCCTACAGTATTTTTACTGTCTTTATTTTACTGTTAAAGTATATGTTTATCGTATAAAGTCTAATGTTACAACTAATCGGGCATCCCTTTAAATGTAACGGTTAAGGTAATAATTACATGTATATCCACAACTGATTAAYTTTTGAAGTCAGTCACATTCAAATAGCTGCCACAACTATGCAAMCTAAGCATAGGAAAGAAATAGCTATAATATTTCAGCCAGTTTTACAGAAATCAAGCTAAAATCTGGTATGGATGCTGAGAATTAGACCCAAGTCGCAGTACGAGTGTTACACCTTGTGCAATACTTTTTACTCAAAATTTTGGCAATATTTGTTAGTGTCAGCTGTGAACCACTGCATGACTTTTGATGAAACTCTTAGAATACTCATTGAATCATTATATTTGGAGTCAACCCACCTGATGATTGCCGCCACAGCTAATCATCATTAACACACAAAAAATGTCTCTAACAGGTTTCAAGTGGTTTACAGACAAAGAGCTAAAGTTTGATGTGCTTGTAGCTCAGGGTGATTCCCACAGCATTCTTTGAGCACTAACACATCTCACAAGATCTCACCATATCCCATGAGATTGGGAGTACTGTCATTTTTAACATTTGACCAAAACAGATATAAYTCCATTCCTTCTCAGCACAAGATGATTTTTCTTTAAAACTCTAGCATGAAAGGTGGCAGATGACATGCAATCCTTCAGGTTATACTAGGGCTTTCTCTTTCTTTGTCTTTCTTTCTTTCTCTTTCTTTCTTTATAATGGGTTCAACAGAGTATAAAAGACTAATATAAAGAAGCATCCTTGATCTGAATTCTAGTAAATTACAATATAACGAACATGACCAAYACTGCACTGAGCATTTGGAAGACACTGTTATCTAACACAGAATCTGCTCACTTTATGCTACAACTTATGTTCACTAAGACACTACACTGAACTAAAGCTGAAAACCATGATGTGCTGGACTTACGTTGAGCTGCCGAGGATGAAGTTTTCCTGCTTGAGCTGGCTCTCCAGGCCTGGTGTCGGCATGCAGAAACGTCGAGAAGCCTCCTGTAACGAACGGAGCAAAACTTTATTTCAGATTTACTACTGATTGTTTCTGATCCATGGCATGATGCCTTACAGATCTGTACAGAAGCTTTCACCTTCAGGACATCCTGCAGCTGCTTCAGGACAGCATGGACTTCTTCYTTCAGCAACCAGTTGAACTCCTCCTCCTACCAAACAAGAAATACATACAGAGTATGCTAGCAACATTTGCAAAGAGATTTATGGTAAAACAAATGACTTCAATTAAAAGAGCTTTAAAATTCAATTCAAATTCAATTCAATTCAAAAATACTTTAATGATCCCAGAGGGAAATTAAAAGGATTAAAAGGATTTTTAAATGATACCAAGATCATGGATCTGAGTTAAAAATAAGAAAGCTGCAGTGTTTTAAAATTCTGGTAACTTTAATACTATCCTTGGCAAAACATTTCCGTTGCATGGAATATATATGTGCAGTTTATGTTGGTAAATTACTCCAGCATCCTACTCTGAGTCATACTCAAATGGTTATTAAGAAGGCTGAATAATATACCTGACTAGCAGCTAGAAACCAAATACTCAGTATACTGTATAAGACAAGCAAAAAACTGATATATTTTAAAACAGCTTAAATGATACTAACCCCTTRAAAACAAATTTGGAAAACAAGTAAGCAAAAAAAMGTCCTCTGTAATTAATTCTGGTGACATTTTTGTAACAAAGCCTAAATGGTGCGTTACTTACATAAGCATTTTTAAAAGCTGGATGTGTAAATAGTAATACAATATAATAATTCTCCTGTCTCCTCAGAATTTTTATTCAACTCACCTGCCTCAGGACACTTCAACTTTAGCCTATATATGAGTCTGACCTACTGATTGAACTACTCAGTCTGGACACCAATAAATATACTGGAATGGATGAGATGGATCCATTATTTTTGTTTTGTTTTATTTAAATTTTATATTGTTTTAATTCGAGCCTCTCTCATTGCAGCCCATCTATAATTTGTTCAATCGTTCTCTACAAACCAGAGTGTTCTTTCTGGATTAGAAACCTRCTGAAGTCAACCCTGTGTTTAAAGGGGGTGACAATGTTGAATTGAGCTGCTACAGACCTAGATTTTACCATGCCTTTCAAAAATGTTTCAAAAGCTAATCAACAAACAGCTCATAGACCATCTGTCAACTCACAATGTACACAATGTGCCAATGCTGATTGCAGCAAATCAACAAGAAAACCCAGTTTGGGTTGCTGCTATGCACGTTGAATTGGCTATAGCTTCCATGCCAAGCAGGGTTGGCAGATAGGAAATGACCAACTACAGTATTGTCAATATTTTATTATTGCATTTTTACCCAAATGATCATATGTGCTGAGTGAGGGTGAACTTTCTCGGCCAATGGGGTGGGGTGGCGGGGKTGTTATAAAATGAGGTKTGTGTTGKGATTGGCAAACATATTTACAGAAAAGAAGAAGGGCTTGACCCTAAACATTGAATATGTATCTGGTAACGCTGATGCCAGGTGATGTTAGGCTTTCAACGTGATGAAAATCAGACACTTCAGTCTCGAGCATGAAAACAGTTACCATACCAWACCAGCTTTATACATAGAGCACTTTAAAACACACACAGGACCAAAGTACTGTACACATAATGGGGGTGGGTGCTACTTGTTTTATGAAAACATAACTTTTTGCGACTAACCTTCAATATTACGGTAATAGGTTTACACATATACAAATTTTTAATTGCCTAACTACATCCTAAAATTATGGACTCCTCATGATAATTATTAATAAGAATTTATCGTAGTAAATTCTTATTGATAATAAGTGATTAGAACTATGTGCAGCAGCAGATGATCTGATGGTACGTTCACACCGAACGCATTTTTGAGGGGCAGGAGCGGCCGATTCACATGCAAAGTCTATGGTGGACGCACCTCTAGGGGTCGTGCGTCACATCACATATGTTTTGGGCGGCGCGCAATGAAGGCGGTAGGGGAGCAGAGCGTTTTCCACGCGGCACCGCCAGAGCCGCAGCCAGAGTTCAAATATCTGAACTTTTCGCCACTCAACGCGTCTCCCACTGAAAACCGAAACAGACAGACTGGAGATCTTTACCTGAAATCGACCATGTGCAGTTGGATTT